AAAAGAAAAAAGACATGAGAAAAACATTGCTTTCCAAACCTTGAGACTTAATAAAAAATTTTATATTTTACATATGAAAGCATTGTAATGTTTACTGATAATCTGCCAAATTTCGTTAACATTTGCTTACTAACTAAAAAGTTATAGCATGAAAACTATAACAAGCACAAAATGGTTACGAGGTGGTCTCAGGGACCGAGCCCATGCTGAAAAAGTTAAGCCATTAAGCAATCTCAAATCACTTGACTTCTTTGTTTCATGTTATGTATATATGTATATTCCTGAAGCTAGATAAACCACTTGTACCTGATGATGACAAACCAAAAACATTGCACATTTGTTACTATGTTCAACTTATAATAAAGTTTTCTTTGTTAACCATTCAAATTTTATTAGTCTCAAAATGGGTTCCTCATCATCAAATTACAATTTCTTTGTGAATGGAATTAGTGGATATAAGAAAATGTTTGCAGATAAAACTAAAATAAGTACATCTATTATCAAATATTTGATTATAATAGCAGTAAAGACTAAATTATTTAATTGTGAAAATGTAATCATAATCTAATTACTTGTACTTAAACATTAGTTTAATCCAAGTAACCACCTTTGGCCTTAATGACAGTTGTGCTAGGTTACGTCATTCTATCAATCAGTTTATCAAAATATTCAGTCATTAGAGAGCTTTATGAATGTATTGCTACATTTTTGTATGTTCTCATAGGTTTTTAGACAGCTACTGATTTTGTCCCACACAAGTTCAATAGGTTATGAACCTGGTATTTATGATTGGTAAACTAAACCATGTTTTGGTATATATTTCTTAGTTTCTTGTTTTCAATGAAGCCTTGGCATAGTTTAGATATATGTTTTGGATCAATGTCATGTTGAAAAATGAATCTTTCTAACTAGAAGACACAAACATTTTTTTATACAATACTGCACTGATTCTTGTTCAAGATTGCATATGAAATTCTGTAAATGTTCCCTGTCTGTATTTAAACTTCTTTCCATCTTTATCTCTATAAAATATGACCACCACTGTAGTTGCGAAACATAAACATCAAAAACATTTTACCTACCTCTCCCTTTTCATCACCTTTGAAAGTTAGACATATGTCCAAGTCACAGTCAGTAAAACCAAAACCATTGCACGAGGATCCAAAAAGGTGAAGAAATGCATCTGAGAATAAATATAATTATGGTTATAATAGATATATATAGCATGAAGGAGAGAAATCCAATTTCATGAAATTTCTATATAGTCTAGTAATACTCAGAGTTAATCACATTTTACAATAGTAAAGTTTCAGGTTTCATCCCGCCCTTGGTGCTACTTTCTTAATTTTTGATCAAACTTAATGTTATTTTTATGATTAAGAACTACTGCTCAACATTACAATTTATATAATAAGAAGGTGGTTGAATGAAACTGTTCATTTTAGTTCTACAGCCACCTTTATCATGAAAACAGCCATTGATTTCAAATTTTCTTGACAACAGTATAAGTAGATATAACCAGCTTTATTACAACAGTTAAATAGGTTGAAATGGTCTCTCCTGTAATCATACTCGTAACTTTACAGACAAGGGTGATGCTCCAGACTGGATTAGGTTTTGAAGCTAACTGCTATTTTGAATATTCTTGTCATGCAAATTCTTCCACTTCCATGACGAACAATGAAGACTCTTCTTTACCCTTGTTGAAACATGCACATGTATTTTACATGACCTTGTAACTATAGTGGTATATACATAATATGACTCTGAAATTACTTAACATATCTTCAAGAAATTGGGCAAACTTTCAGTAAAATTTAATGTTGACAAAACATCACAATTTTTATAAGTATTTTTACTAAAACTGTCTGTAAATTATATAGTGTTAAAGTGATTTTCAAGTTAAGATTAAAAAATACTTTTCTTCATCTGAAGATTTTCAAATTTTGTTTGCATAATCCCTAAACCTCTTAAATAAATATTAAATACTTTTTTCAGAAAAACTTTATATTTTATCTGTTATTTTGTATACTTATCTCTATAGAGTATTGGTCAATTTGACTAACCTCATAACCTCTATGAAAAATTAAAAATAATACCAAATCACCCTTTTTCTTTCTGGAATGACTGCAAATTGTAACAGGAAACCAAAATTTTTTATCCTAAGTAGCTTAAAGCTTGCAACAGTATATATCTATTTATACTTAATTTTATTGATTCATTACCTTTTTAACTGTGTCTAACTAATAATCCTGCCACACAAGTTACAAATCACTCGGTGAATGTGTAGCTCACATTACCCTATTGAATTATGTAATGCTAATTGCAAACTGCTTGTGAACATAATTCATGAAAATTATTATTTTTTTTATGTAATCTAACTTAACAAGTTTCTGGTGTATACATTTTAGTTACTTTTAACATAATAAGTAAAGAATACATATGAAAAATAAAACTATAGTACTTACCTGGACCTTATGAAACTTAACTTTTTTATACTAATGACACTAATGCAATACATAATTTTTATTTAATTAAATAATGCACCTAAAAACACAGAATAATAACATATAAAAACCAGACAGTGTATTATAATATAATATTTTTGGCTTTCTAACTATGTGATAAGAGCTATTAAAAATTCAGTTAAGCTCATCGATGTGCTTCCTGTGGGAATAAAGTTCGAACTGGAAGTAAAATAGACAATTCTCTGTACAGAAAAGAACATAATATAATACATCATTTGATAGATGGTGCTTTGTTGAAGGACAACTGTTTTGATGTAATTTGTTCATCGCATTAAATCTCTCAAGCCTTTTATGTGGAATCGAACACCAAAATATACTTAGATTGTGTTCATGTTTACATGCATACAACTACAATGCTTGTAAACGAAGCTTCAACACAATATGTGGTTCATGTGGCAGTCACATGACAAACCACATGTATGTTCCATTTCAGGAAAAAGAATAAGAAGTGTGCTAAAGATATGAGGTACAGCTACAACAAAAACTGCAACTCAGGTTCTAAAATAGTCTGAAAATATGTCTTTCATTTTGGCACTTTGGAACGTAACATATTTTATAGTTTGAGAAAGTATAAAGATTGGATGTCTCTGAAATATTCTAAATTTAAATCTAACAATTCATATATGTATGTAAAAAAAAGTTGTTTCAAAACCATTGTATCATGTATAAAAAAACATTACATTGGCATTTGTAGTACAAACCACCCCCCAACTAAAACACGTTTATAAATATTTTATATAGATTTGTGAATGCCATACTGCATCAAAATATCTCAGATGTCTGATAAAAGTAAGATATCCTATGTGGCTAACAATCTCCATACACACAAGTATCCTATGAAATATTCCTTATTTTAAAAGCATTGTTGACTGGGTTGGAATCCACTGTGGTTGAAATCTACAGGTGGTAATCATGTCTCCCATGACATCACAGCATATAGACTGGCATAAACTAATCCTTCTTATAAAGTGCCATTAACCCTCTTAATATTGTGCAAAAATAACAGCTGCTGTCATTCATACCTGGATAAAGTTCACGTATGAAAGCTTCCAATTCCAATACCATTTGTTTCCTCTGAAAAAGTGTTTCATCATCTGGAGCATTTTCTCCTGAGAAATAATCAGAAATAACTGTTTATCTGTGCTTTTTATTATTAACTTTTAAATTACGAAATTAAGTAATGTATAGCGCTAAAATTTGAATTATAATCTATAGTTTGGTACCAAACTTATTGATATAAATACATGAAATAGTAGTTCAATAAAATTTTGAATGTGAGTCAACAAATGAGATGACATGGCCTTTCACCCATAACCAATCTTAAAAGGATTAACTTTTCAACACATTTGTTGTTTTATTTCATTGCTATTCCATTTTTAAAATGTTGTCAGGACTATCAAATTTCAACAAGAAAACCTTGCATAGTATAACCAGAAATGACTGTTATTGGACATGTTTACAACAGCAATAACAAACTCTTGAAATGTACTAAAATCAGTTATAATTTTTGCAATGTTGTCATAATTCTGACTGTGTAAATTACCCAGTTATATATTTTTCTTAACATAAAAATATTCACTTTTCTTAAATCTTTATAACTTTGGTAAGAAATACATTTTCAGAAACAAAAATTAAGACTCTCCCTCAAATTATACTCTTGGGTTTATTACTAGAACCTCAAAAACAATTGATGCAATCCTAAAAAATTATGGAAATATGCAAATCAACAGAAGGTTCTAATCCCTAATTTCTAAATGATTTAAAATGTATCTAATATATTCAAAAAGGATAAGCCTGATCTGTTAATCAAACCTGGTGATTTGATTTTTTACTTTGAAATCAGTTGCAATTTCTCTATGAAATATATCACTGCAGTTCAATAGTACCGAAAAAATATGTAGCTATTTGAAAGTTTGGATGCCTAGAAATACATCAGTATGTAATTTCTTTTCAATATAAAAATACTCAAACTAGGCACTATACTGTTTAAAGTTTATCAATTTTAAAAAAAAGAATATAATATTTTAAATCAACCTTTAAAGCTATCAAATGTTACCAAGATTACATTGAAGCCCACCAAAGTAGTCTTTTCTTTTACATATAAACAGAAATTTGGAGTATTTATAGTTTTCAGGGAAAATATTCAAGCACACCAGTGAAGGAGATGTTTGAATAAAAGACTAAAGATTTGTTAATTTATCTTAATTAAATAATCTTTGCTCCTGTTAGCTTTTGTGATAATAGCCAATTCTAATTTTACTTTTCAGGTGAACTATTAGTATAATTTTATAGCATTATCAAAGCAAACTTAAAAGGTGATGCTACTTCACCTGGATTACCAACACTTCCAAATATAACCAAAAAAATTATTTTTTTCTTGCTGAAATTTATAAATTATCAAATTAATCTGTCAGAAGAATAAGTTACTAAACAGAGAAAAATATCTATGGAAATGAATACCATCCCATTTAATTAAAACTTATGTCACATTTTCTAACCCATTCCATCAAACTTAAAAGGTGATGCTACTTCACCTGGATAATCAACACTCACAATAAATATTACTTTTTGTTTTGCCAAAATCTCAAAGCTATCAAATTAATCTGTCAGAAAAATGAGTTTGTAAAAACAGAAAAATATCCATAAAAATGAATATTATCAGATTTAATGAAAACTTCTGTCACATAAAAAAAAAATTCTAATCCATTTCACTAACAAATTCATGCAGTTACACAGTTTTTATCTAACACTGCTTTAGCCATTTTTATTACAAAATCTTTTCTATTGAGCTATGCGATTTAGGATTGAAGTATTTGAAGTAGTTTTTAAGTTGTTTCTCCACTATCATATCAGTACTGAAAAGCACAATCATTAGAAATTAACATAGATTATTTTCTTGTACGAAAACAAAGACGCTTTTACCTTTTTTATTACTAACTATTCATGAAACGTAACCCAATATATGCGTAACTACTGTAGCTAAACAATAAAACACTGATCACCTACTCAGAATGTTTTTACACATGGTATCAAGTTTTCGTAAATAACGTTCTGTCATTGGTGGAAGAGGTTTTACTTCTGGTAGTTTCTCATCAGGACAATCCTATAAAAAAAAATCAACAAAAAACTGTGGATAAATGAAGAAAAAATGAATCAAATGAAACAAGGCACTCTTTCATATCTCAAGATTCATTTTACATATTATATTGTACTTATATTATGAATATAAATTTCCACCCACTGTGTCAGTTACTAGAAACTACAAACATAATGAAAATTACACTCACTATTAAAGGCAAATATTTTATGTGATGGTAGCAATCTTTTAAATAATCCTTTTCTACTTTACAACTGTGGGTACAAGTACTATAATATTACACAGTATATGAATTTAATATATTTCTAAATGTCCAATAAATAAAAGGCACAAACAAAAGTTAGATAAGGTCTAGTTCAAGACAGATTAGCTTAAAATTTAATAAAAAATACAAAAGAGTTTCCTAAAAACAATTTAATTATTTACTATAAATTTACAAATAACAGAACTGTACATTCATTCGTATTTTCTACAAATAAACATGTTATTTATTGTCCTTAAACTTTAAATACATATTTACAATGTTTCCCTAAAGTAAAAGAGAATGTGTCAAAAAGTTCACTATTCTATAAAAAAAAAATCCTCCTCATAACAACAACAAGAATTTAACAAGTCCAGCCTTTCACAAATTGTAAGTCATGATCTGGCAGGGGAGATTTGGAAGGTTTCCAGGAAATTTGCAAAGATACAAAATAAAAAATAGCTTCCAATTTTATAATAAACAGAAATATGTTTACATGAAATGAAAATTTTGATGAAATGATCCATCAATTTTTACACAAGTTAATGTATTTTTCAGTGTGACTTCACTGTATTGGACACTTCTGGACACTTCACAGTAGCTATTTTAGACAAATACTGAAACTGACATTTAAAATAATTTGCATATAACGCTTCATAAATGGAACAGTTTTCTTAATACAAACACATAAATCTTTCCTACTGACAGCCGTGTTACATTCATTGTTTAAAATATGTTACTATCTTAGTATTTGGTGTTATAAAATAATGAGTGCCATTATAATTTACACAATATAATTGGTAACCTATGAACAGCAATTACATTGATTAGCATCTCATAAACTACTTCATTAATGTCAGGAAAATAAACAGCTAACAGAAATTAACGTGTACACTTCTTCTAACAACCAAATAATCAAAATTACAATTAAATTAACTATCATGAAAATAATCAGGCAACAGATACAGAAGATTACAATACAACAAAAAGACATCTTATTGTAGACCCAGATTACAAGATATACCATCTACATTTGAAGACAGAAAAAAAATGGATAAAACTTCAGCGGGATTTACAACAAAAACATTTACAAGACAGAAGAGCAAGTTGAAAAGATACTTCAATTAAATTTCTTGGTGAAATGCAAAAGAAGTAATATGACATATATAATATAATCTCAAAGATGAGATACTGTCAGTTACATCACACCATAGCAACCAAGGCTGTGAAAAGTTATTGGCTAAAATCAATAAAACTACACTTATATTGATATTACAAGGTTCAAATTGATACTATTTTCTTTAAAACTATTTTGACTTTTCTCTGAAAGGTTAAGAATGTCATTTTATGCTCATAAAAGTGTCAAGAAATTTACAAACATTAACCATTTCTTTGAGAGAAGGGTGAGATCAACTCAAGATAAAAACCTTGCTGTTTCCTTAAATTCTTATGTATAAAATTAAATAAATTTCAACTCTCAAGTACTTGAAAAAATGTCTAGAGGAATGATTACAACTATATATTAAATAACTTTTTCATTCAATGGTGCAATTTTTTCATCAGAGCAAGATGAACCCAGTCAAGTACCACACAGACAAACTAATAAGACCTACAATGGAAACTTGTAATTTTATCTCTACTAAACACAACACCAAGAAGTACTAGAATTTCAGATTAAAGATTTAGGATTTTATTAAAAAAAAGGTTAAGTCATATTTTTGAGACCTTCTGTCAAAATCTCCATACAATAGCCCGTAAAATAATATTTATGAAATTATATTCAAAAGAGTTTTAATCTTGTATCTTGATTTCATGCAGATGACACAACATCAGATGAAGAGGAGATAAATTTTTTCTCTTCATTCGATACTAAACACAAATGAGTGGTTTTTAAGATGTTGTCAAACAATGATAAACAAGAGGTTTGAATTTCTCATGTCAACTTAAGAAATTGTTAAAAAAGTACCTGTTTCAAATGTCCTTCCCTCTGACAAAGACTGCAGGCAATTGGTGGTTTCTGAAAAATAATATTACAATTAGGCACAAGAACGTTGAGAAGGTGATTTAACTTATTAGGAAAATCACATCAGAGAAGTCACATCTGTAATCTGACTACTGTTAATAAATTCAATGAAAATTTATTGACTAAAAACATGAAAAAAAGAGCATTTAAAACTATTACATGAAGGCTCTTAATAATATTAATAATAGTAAAAAAGTGTCTCATTAGAAAAATTTGGCTAGTCCTTTGTTAAACAAGCTTTTGCAATAAAGTGAAATAAATAAATTGGATGGCCAAAATTTATTTCAAAATCTAAATTTTTTATTACATCTTTCAAATTTTTGTGAATAAAGTATATTTAAGTTATTTTAGCTTTACTTACAAATAATATATGAAGTCAACCTAGCACAGAAATGTGCAAAAACTTAGACATGCCTCTTACAGAAAAAATAAATAAATCAGAATCAAATTCCAATGGATTGATGGCCCACTGATACATCAGAAATAGATGTGTACTTTTTGAGAGCATAAAGTTCCTACTGTATATTTAGCATACAAAAAAATAATTCAATGACTTGCAACACATTTTATGTTGAATGAAAATAAAGCTATGACTAAGACCAAATATGAGACTACCAACAAAATGTTCACTGTTACATTATTAGTAAGAGCTTTACCTGCTTATAGACCAATAAAATTAACTCAAAATGCTCAGTGCATTGATCTGATGCACCGTTGTATGGTTTGTTTTATTGTATTTCAAAAACAAATTCTCGATAAAATTGGTATGAAGTCATCATGCAATATATAACTTCATTAAAATATTTTATTTTTATATATATATATATATATATTTGTGTGAATTAGCAGCTTTAAAAAGTATATCAATTTTAGAACCATACTTTTTTAAGAAACAATTAAAAATGCTCACCTTTGTTGTATATTTCAATCACTGATTTAAATGTCTTCCTACGTTTATGTAAGCATTTCCTTTAAAGTTCTTAATGTATGCAAATTTAAATTTTATTTTTGTTTTGATTGGAAAAACCCATATGTAGTTTCACTCTGTTTACAACCATTGGAGTAGAATAAAAATATTTTTTATTACACCAAAACCATCAGTAAGCCAAATTTTTGTTAATTATTAACCCTAGATGCATTTAGTCCATTGGACTCAGCTTGAATTGGAGAATTAATTTCTAATGTAATTCCAAACTTACCAAGTGTCTATTCATGAAATTTAGTAAGCTTCTATCAAAGATTAGAATTCTATTGCATACAGAAAATCAGAATTTTTAAAATAGTATTTCTCATTTCATTACAAATATGGTGGTATTGTGCACCGTTTTTGCTGTATTTAATTATAGACAAGCACACACACACACAAACAATCTCAGAGTTTTAGTAGTATATAGATTTACTCCAAACCATATCCCACTGTTAATGCTTAGTTGTGGCTACTTACTCTGTAACACATACTCATAATAGTTAATGTTTAAGCTTCTTTCCTTACTCCTTAACATGTACATATAGTAGTTAAAGTTCAGACGCAGTTATAGGCCTATTCCTTTTGGGTGAGTTTCAAAACCTGTCATGTTCTAGGGGCACTGCACATCATTGCAGGCTATTTTTTTGACATGACCAAGTCTTACCCATGGATTGGTCCCTCACCCACTACTCTTGCGTTGTTCAACTTTAAAATTGTTCATCCTCCTTTTGTTGCCTTGCCACACCACTCATTGCTAAACTTCCTCTATTCTGGCCTCCTGTGCTTTATTATTCAGCCCTGAATGTCTATACCCTTAGTCTGGACTGGTCCCATCTTTCTTTTCTTGTGCATGTCCTCTTCTCCTTCTCCTCTGCAGGTTTTTACTCTGTTTTGGGACACTCCTTACAGGATCCTTTTGGTGGATCCGAAATGGTGTTCCCAACCTGGTTTTTATTACTCCATCTCCTCTCGCCTCAGCCTTGCCTTCTCCTTCCCAACTTTCCATCCCTTCTGATCCATCCTCACACTTTGTTCTTTCTTTGGGATTTGACATCTTTATCCTTGTGTGTGGAATTTGTCTGGTTCACCACCCTGATCACGTAACTCTTCCTTTGCTAACTCCTGTCATCCTTCTACCACTTCTGTGTGCCAAGGTACAGGGTGTAATTATCACCGTGGTTTCATTGTCACCATTTCCCTTTGACTTCATTACATTGTAACATATTTCTCCTCTTTCATGAGATAGTTCTTCCATGAACTGTATGTCTCTTTGATTTTGGGTTTTCATACAACATTTCCTCAATCATCTGCTTTTCCTGTTGTCACAGGAATAGAATTTCTTCTCTAGCTCTTTCTTTTCTTCATTATTCACTGCACCCTTCCTAACTTCTTGCCTGACTGGATTATCACTGGGTTTTCCATGCTCTTACCCAGGTCCCTACCAAATCTCTAGCACATGTTTCTGCTCTGTCTAGACACATTAGTCCTCTTCTCCTTGCCATCGATTTCCATTATTCACATATCTTTGCCTCTCTTTCTGGCTAGTATTCCTTGGATGGGGATGGTGGTTACTCCTTTTCTCATATCCTTTCCTTCGGTTTCTGCTTTTAGCATTTATTTTGATCTCGGCAAACACTTTTGTCAGATTCAGGCTGCTCAGTGTTCTGTCACATTCTTCCTCACTGAGGTTTCCCTCACTGTCTTTTTGAACCTCTCTCCTTACTCCATTATGGGTTGGATCCACCAGCTAATTAGTCTCAGAAATGCTCCTCTGAAGGCAGATGATTGTATGCTCTCTTGGGTTTCCTCTCTTCAGTTTTTCTCCTCCCAGTTTCTCTCACCCTTCATTTTTCTCTAGACAAACACAGCTACCAGACAGCAGCCTTAGCAGAAAAATAAAACATGATCTAACTAAGCCTACCACATCTTGTCCCACAAAAATATTCTTTTCCTATCACACTGCAACATCATACTTCAAAGGAAGTATAAAATGATTAAACAAATTTTTTTGCAAGATTTAGAAAAAAATAACCTCTGTAATTGTCCATAAATATCTTTACTCCTATCGACATATCACCAAGCTAACCTTTTATCATTTTATTATAATCTCTCATTATGAAAGTTTCCATTAAAGGAAGTAATATTGATTTTTATAGTTGAAAAGAACAGAAAAACAGCTTTCACTACACACTTAGAACACTAACCTATGACTTCTCAAGGCAATTACATCACTCCATGAAAACCAAAGTTGAGAAACAGCGATTAGATGAAATCAATAAAACTGTACTCATATTGCTATTTTGTTCAAAACTATTCTGACCTCCTCTGGGGGGGGTTATGAGTAATGTATTATGTTTATCAAGAATTCAGGAATTCACTAATACTAATGTTTTCATTCAGAACATGCTGAAAATAACAAAGAATAAAAATTTTTGTTTTATTGTTATGTATAAAATCAAGTAAATAAAGCTTTTGATTGAATAAATTTCAACTCTGAGTTTTTTTTAAGTGGAAGAATGACTACAAGTTTATCTTCCATAATGTTTTTAGTTCAATAGTGCAACCTTCCCTCAGGGCATGATGTATCCAGCTTATCAACAGAGTGTAAAATCTAATGTTTTACATATTGATAGAAAAAATATATATACTATGTATTTTATGTGTTTGAAGCAGCATAGAAGCTCCCACCACAAATGGTAGGTTTAAGGAACAATCACCAAGTTATAAACAAGTGCTTCTTCGTATAGCTTAAAGCAATTATTTTTTAAATTCTTGTTTAAAAGAGTGGTATATTTAAAAATGGCAGATACAATGTGAAAAATTATAAAGAAGTACAAAGCTCTGTCTAATGCAATTCACACTAACCGAAAGTTAATACAAAATGAGTATAGGGTTTGAAAAATACATTAAATGATATAGTATAGAAAATTTGAATATTTCTCTAAAATAATAACAAAACAAATTTGACTACTTGCCTTCCCATTTGTAAGTGAATCTTTATAGAATCCAAAGTGATATTCATCAGGTTTCAGACATCTGATAACAGCCATAATATGGTCAGGTACCACGTATTTCTTTTTCCTTGCGTTAAAATGTACACTCATGTTGTCATTGCTAACAGATATAGCTTTGTTGTTTTTTTTCTTTAAGGAATCAATGTCTTTGGAAGCATCTATAGCTGGTGAGACTTCATTTTCGTGAGCACTTTCTTCTATTGAGAACTCTTCTGTTTCATTCATTTGATCCTCACTTGCCTGGCTGTTCAAATTAAGTTTAGTTAAAACTGAAATGACATTATCTAGTGACAGATCTGTGTCTTGATCTTCTATAAAACTTTCACATGTTACAGCCTCTGAATCCTCTGTTTCTCTTGGTTCTCGTTTACTATCAGAAAGAGAAGTATCAGTATCAGAGTCAAGTTGCTGCTCCTCAATGAGAACTGGAGTCAAATCATTGGCTACACAATGATCTTTCTCTACTGGTTGGTTCTCCTGACTTGTATTTTCAAATATGTGTTGTGGGATAAGCAATTCTTCAGAAGGCTGACATTGGTCAATGCAGGCTGTCTGTTTAACCACTTCTGAACCAGCATCTTCATCATTAAGTTCCTTATCTTGCTGAACTAAGTCAGAGGTATTAGCCTCCTGTCCTGCTTGACCAACAATGTTTTGTCCATCCTCTGGTAATTCTATATTAAACCAAAATATCATATTTTCAGTAAAAAAAACAAAACACAGAAATATTACAAAATATCTTTGACATTAAGCATAGAAAAAGGTTAGTTACCTTATGAGTTGTACTACAAACATCCTTTTAAGTACAACATTAACTGTAACATGTTACTTGTTTGTTAAGTATATTCTGTTATTATGATTTTTTTTGCATAAAAATAGGTACCCTCTTTTTTCCAAGCCTGATATATATATATTATTTCCACCAATCTTCAACAGTATACCAGCATCAATGGCTAAGTGACATGGAAAGTTATGTATTTATAATTTGATACACTTGTCTTTGCTCAATTTTTGTGAATAACAAATTATGCTTTAATACAGGATTCTCAATGTTATGAGTTATTGTTCATCTCAGGTAAAGACACGTGTTATCTATATTTTCATACCTGGCAAATTGTTCAATAAGTTTAATAGTCAAATAGTGACAATTAAATCCAGGAGTGTGTTAATAATTATGTTGAATGGTACAAACAGGGTGAGTTCAAGCAGATTTGAAGGGCTCAAAGAACCCACTGCAAAATTTTAGGGGCACCAAAATTGTAAAAATTTAGAAAAACTACTAACAAACAAAGATAAAAGGGATATTTGTGGTGAAAGTTTGTGTGCAGAACTTAAATTAATATCACATCGAATACTGGAAAATTGAACTCCAGGTAAAGCCTTATTTTATATATATGTGAAAACCAAACCATAAAATTTTTGCAAATACATTTATTGCTCTAATTATTATATTAAGTTTGACCATTATTGTGGCAAGTGGCGAAAGACTTTTTGAGGCTAAAGTTGATAAAAAAAAGTTTTCTTTCTACAATGGAACAAGATAGATTAAATGGTCTAGCAATAATTTCTATACAAAACAAAATGGCCAGAGAAATTAACATAAGATAAATTAAAAAAACTTTGCCATGTTAAAAGCTCATAAAGTTCCATTTTCTAAAGACTATTCTTTGTTGTTTTTATATGTATTTTTCTACTATGTACCATTTTTGTAATGAATTTAAAAAAAAATATTAACAATTTTATAAAGTACAGAAAAATAGATAAAAAATATAGAAATTTTTAAAATGGTCACAATTTTTTATTTCTGAACTTGAGTTGGGACTAGGTACAGAGTTTAATTTGCTCAATACTTTTCAGTGTGGTTCATGGTTGATACTTTTATATAACACCAGTTAGACAAATGCGTTATTCTAAATAAAAACTTATTAGAATAGCATAATTAAAAACAATATTTTCATTTGTTACACTTGAAAAACTACAGACTGTTTATTATTTCAAGTAGTTCATTGATACCAACAATTTGACCCAACAATCTGCACATCTTACTCAGTCAGTTCTAAAAGCATACCGATACCAAAACATGGTCTTAGGAGTGTTCATTACCCGTATGTTAGGATATTATGAGATGCATGAATATGTTGCTGAAGGGTTGCGCATATCTGCCAGACATACTGTAATATGTTTCGAGGGCACAGTTGACTTGTGTTGAGATCAATAATAAATGTTAAAGGACAAGAATGGAAAATAAAACATTAAAAATTAACTATATGTGAAAAAAAAAAGACCCACAATTATGAATATAAGTAGAATAAGATATGTAAAGATATTCTACAAAAAATTAAAAGATATGTATTTTTTATTTCCTAATTTTAATCATTTCATTGCATTGTACATTAATGATAACAGCTAGAGTTAGTTATATGGTAAAGAAAATGAAATATAAAATATCAATAACTACATTAAAAAAACAAGGTGATTTTAATTTTAAGTATTTAAATACTTTTCTTTATCTTATAATGGCTGGAGACGGCTTGAGTGGGTAATGAAGAAAAACTTTAATATAAGTTTAACATAACAGCAAATGTACAACGTTTCGACAAGGTTTTGTCATCATCAGGTACCTGCCATTATTAGTCTCAAAGTGGGTTCCTCGTCATCGAATTTGAATTCTTTATCTTATGTTTTTCATATTTCATTTGCATGATTTCTAGAACCTCCTAAATGAAAATCAAAAGCATTAGAACTATTTTAACTGTCTGAGTACAGAAAACTACTATAGATAAATAAACTTTTTATTGTTTGTTTTGAATTTTGTGCAAAGCTACACTAGAGCTATCTGCGCTAGCCGTCCCTAATTTAGCAGTGTAAGACTAAAGAGAAGGCAGCTAGTTATCACCACCCACAGCTAACTCTTGGGCTCTCTTTTACCAACAAATAGTGGGATTGACCGTCACATTATAATGCCTCCACGGCTGAAAGGGCAAGCACGTTTGGTGTGACGGGGATTCGAACCCGCGACCCTCAGATTGCGAGTTGGGCCTGCAATCTTTTTTTTTTAAATTACAAAAACGTAATTATAATTTCCTCAAAAGAAAGAAAGCACGAAGGGAAGACTTTTCTTGTGAGTGTGACTGGAGAAGCCAATCATCCATGAAGTAATGGAATTGTAGACCCAGTCCATGTAGATAGCAAGTGAACTATGCAATGGGGCCAACTCAATGATGAACAAAAAAGTTCGAAACTGGAATACTTAGGAGGAGGAGAAGAGAACTAGAAAGAGAGTCTGTGGGTAAGAACTAGAGTAACCTATCTGTCTGTGTAAAGGTGTGACCAAAAGTGTGAAAACCACAACAGACAGGTCCCCACGGGACATAACAAAACTTGATAGTCAAGGACGAGCTCGATAAAACTGATGCTGGGAAGAAGTTGGATGAGTAGAACAGGAAGTAGTAATAAAAAAATGGGAAACAGAAGGACTAGATCTAGGTACATAGATGGAGAGTTTGGTTTGGAACAGTCTGGAATCCAAGTAAGGATTGATGACGGGCAGCCATGATTCAGAGTGAAGAAATTGGTCAAGGCAGAGACCTCATAGGAAGTCGAACCTGGGAAAAGAGGGTATCTCTCCCTAACAACAAATGAGCCAAGTGAGCAGGGAAAGGACAGAAGTGGAATGGGCCATGTTGGAAAAGAGAAGGGAACAAAAATTGCCAACAAAATCATCTGGAACAGAGTGAAGTGCCTCTGATGTGAGGTGTAGCAAGGAGAGATAAAGCAAGGAAAGAAGGATCAGGTAAAGATGAAAGAACTGAGCACAGGAGAGTGGAATCGACTCCAAAGGATCTGCTCCCCCATACAGGCAAGAGATTCTAAATTTTGGGAATCAAGAAAAGAAAAGTCAGAAAAAAACTGTAAGCCAGGATAAAAGAACCTGTGAGATAAGAAGTAAGACACATAAGGTCACAGGAACACAATTGGTCTAGATAGGAATCAGCATGAATTCCAATGTCAGCAGAAGGGGAAAAAAAGAAAAATTTATTCAGAGTTAGGATTATGAGGGAATAGGAAGAATCATGTGATAAGAGTCTTGGGGAAAGAGACAGAGTGAGACATACCAATGATATTAAGTCTTGAAAATATGAGAAAGTTTGAGTGTTATCCTCAATTGCATAACCAGGTGGAGGAAACAAATGATCAAATATGTCGTCCTCCTCATTCTCCCTTTCAAAACAAGGGGAAGGAATGTCTGAAGAATGGATGGGAGATGAAAGTCCCAGGTGCATGAGTGAACCCACTATCATATTCACAATGGCCGTCATATGATTCACAGTTAACGTGTCCCCAGGAGCCATAGTTGAAACTTTACTTGTGTGAGGAAATTCTTCCCTCACACAAGAAGCGAAAGAGGTTACATGAAATTGTGAGTTCATAGTTTGAAGAAAGAAGAGAAAATTAAGATCCTCAAAGTGACAAATCTTGATAAACTGGTAAAAATAAAACACGTCTGATACTTCAGTGCTGAGAAAAAGAATGTAGTATTATAAGTGCAAATGCATAGAAGGTGTGTCACATTCCTGTTGGTGGAAGGCTTTTGCTGCATAATAACATCATTATGTGGTAGCTTAATCCACAAGAAATCTCGTGAGGTTAGGTTACCTAAAGGCTAGTGGCACGCAAGTCTCTAAGGCAGACACATAGAGAAGATAGGTTAAATGAATGAAGAGGTGTGGTATTGTCTCAGAATACAGTTAACCTAAAACCAAGTTTTGATACACTGTTATACTGCCTTGACTAGAAGCACTGTTGTTTTATTACAAGTATTTAAATCCATGTTGCTTTGTGAGATTAACACATTTTTCACCATTTCACAGTTCTAAAACTAAAAAAATATGACACTACAAGAATTATTACTATCCAATTATGAATCACATAATTTGCCTACCTTTTTGCTCCGAATATACATCATTACCCTGGATCAGTACTTCAGATGGAGATGTGTGAGATATAGATGCATCCTTTTGTTCATCTGTATTCAACTTTGGCTGTTTTGTTCTTGAAGAAATTAGTTCTTGACTTGTAAACAATGGTCCTGAAGCAATCTGAGGTATTCCAAAATAGGTGTATGCTGCATGAAATCTCTCTTGAATGTACCGAAAAACATGCTGGTTGCTAACAGACCTAGCCAGGTTTCGTTTAGTATGGAAAGGATCTAAAAGAAAATCACCATGTTAAAAATATTTCACATCTAAAACATTTTTTTCTGATTAGAAAGAAAAGCTATAAAGATCAATTTACTTCTAATCACTAACACTGTTACATAAATGCAAAGAAAATAATAGGAAATAAAGCATTGTCTATTAAGAATAAACTAAATTTTCCTTTACAAGTCCATATTATAAAATTAATTAATAAGTAGGATGCATTAATTTACTAACTGTTTTTGAAAATTAAGTATTTATCATACGAAATACTCACAAATGTTAATTTTTGAAGAAGCAGAAAAAATAACATTTTGAT